AATATAAAAAGAAGGATAGAGATCCCCCATAGCTTCTCGCTTCTTGGAGCATCGTCGCTACTCTTCTATCTTACGACTTTTGACAGCCGCGCACACTCCAGATATTTTATATAGCTCAATGGCATTAACACGTAACGAAGATTTTTAAGTACATCTATCTACAGCTTGTGGCTGTAAATATTTCCCCTATCAATGGCAGACTGTAAAAAATTGTTCCATTTTTTGTGTTACGAGCGCCCGGACTAAGTTTTTCCTCAATGATATTTTATTAACATCGCCGTGAACACCGCCGTTTCTTTCGAGAAAAAAAATGTTAGCCGACGAAACAAAAATTGAATCGAGCGGAGTATCGCGGCAATTTTCAAGTCGCGGAACTGATAACCGGGAGAGGTTCGAAGCGCGTGTATGTATGTCCACGGGCGGAAACGCGATCAAATTTCATGGTGAACGTTCGCCGGCCGGTACAATGCAGTTGTCCGACCGTTTCTTGTCGACGAAGTTTGCGGCCGGCGATCGTCCGACGGGGAGGATTAAAAAGAAACGCAGCCGTCCGACCTGCCGCTCGATCAATCCTTTCATACACTATTACTGGGAGCTGCGGGACGAGCTCGACAAGGATTACACGTCGCGGCTGATAGCGAGGATCGCAGCCCATCGTTGGGAATACATGGACATTGTCGGGAAACGGCCGTACATTCAAGCCGCGGTCGCTCAGCAAAAACGACGCACGAGAACGTTATTCAAAAAGAAATAGGTTCATACAATTACCATTGTTTATAATCTTAAGATATATGCAAGTGGATGATTAATGCGTATGTGATAAATAATACAAAAAAAGAGTTTCGATAAATATTAATTTTCATGAAACAATTCAAATTGAAAACTGAATACGCTTTATAGTACGTTTAGGGGCTTATGAACAACAGTACGAGTATGTATCTGGTTTGACAAATATACATATGTACGTTGCTTTATGCATCAGTCATAGTACGTAACTCTGTGGATTTGCTAATCCAAACAGTGTAGTAAAATAGCTGTCTCTAATTCAGTATACTACAAGCATTCTGGCACCACTTGTTGTGTTTGTGTTTATCACTAACTGCGTTTAGACTAATGGAATACCATTACGTTCTTAATTTTCTTAGATTGCTCTGAAGACACCAGAAGCGAAGCTAGTAGGAAGAACTCTGCGAAAAATCTTTTGTGAATATAAGAAATATTGGTACGTGTACAAAATTCGTGAGTCCTTTTGTTACTGAAAAATTGAACATTGAGAATCAACACTCCTTTTCATGTTAGTGCATATCTCCCACGTATTAGTGAATCACGTGTCGTGCAATGCATTAATAAATAACTGTAGGCATTCTGTATATTTGTATTAATAAAACACGCGAAATGAAAATCGAAGAAGAATAAAAATCTGTGTCTCGTGTTTGGAAATCGAACTTGCCCAATATCATGGGAGCAAATTAGAAAAGAGGAAAGACCGTTTTCTGCCAGCTGGTAGCGAGGTAACAGGTTTGATCAGTGCCCGGAAACAGGCTTGGAAATCGTGCGCAGCCAGTAGGAAACGAGGAATCGAGTTCGCGAAGTTTTCGGGATTCGCTGGTTAATGGTATTGCCTGGCTTCTACTCTGAACGCGCAGCCCGTTGCTAATAAAAACGTACGCCGCTTCTCTTTTTCTCCTCGCAACGCTACGAAAAATCGTGATCTAAACACTCGAACCTTTCGTGGCTTTTTCCGTCGGCGGTATGAATATAAGAGAGGAGCGCGGGGATGAATCCTCGCGAAATTTCACGTCAGGCGGGACGAATTAATTATCGAGC